TTTTTTTACATTCAAAGAATACCGTAAAGATGAAAGAAGCAAAGATCGATGACCTAACATGGTCTGTCTTTGAAATGAGATAATTCCTCTTGGATTTTTCTCTCATCGAAAATACTCGCTGAACGTTTAATCATAAAATACGACACCAGCTCCGAAAATAACCGCAGGTCAGCCATAATACGAGATACCGGGAATTGCCCAAGTTTACTCTGTGATCCTGCAGTTGCATTAATCATTCTTGAGGAGGAAGACGAAGAGAAGTCGGAATCGGTTCAATCCCGCGAGACCGGGATCGGGTTGAGAAGAGAAGCAACGAACGAGGGGAAACGAAAAAAAGAGCGGCGAGTTTCAGAGTGTCGCGTTACCTGGGTCGAGCACAGGTGCGGCGCTTCGAGGCTGACCAGTGTATTGAATTCCACAAAAATTCTTAACGACGCCTCGCTTTGAGCGTCGCCCAGGCCATTCTCTCTCCATCTTGGTCTCCGTTGCCGCTTGGGTGCACGGGTTTTCTCTCCTGCTCCGGCTCGTGTCGCTGGCTCTTTTGCCTCTCCTGCACCGTCTCGAAAAATTTCGAGATATACCGGCTCGGCAACGAATACCTGTCACCGAGAACGCCTGTCGTCGGGTATCGAGACTCAGTTATGAAACTTCGATTCTGACAAATACGGCGCCATTCTCCTCCATTGTCTAGGAGCTTGCGCAATTTCACCCGTATCTTTTCATCCCAGTCCACGTAATTTCGCCAACGACGGTCCTTCGAGTGTCTTCCACAATTTATACAGACACGTCGAGTTAATTGTTTAGGTTGATATTTCGACCCCTCGCGCTATGACGATTTTTTGACGCAATCGATCGATCCCAGTTATTACTTTACGACGAAGTTTTTTGAAAGCACAAAGTTGCGTATCGAAATCTCTCTGAATTCGTAACGTGACTTTCTTCTTCTTACATCTCCTTCGTCCTACATCGGCGAGAATTCGTAAAATGTTGCTAAAAACACGTCGGTAGATTGATCTAGTACGAATATAATTGGACAAGTCCTTCAAAGATTGGAACGTAATCGAGAAAGATCTTCGAGTTTAAAAACGTCTGGCGGTCGGTGTTCGGGCGAGTCCCGGAAGATCGCGAAACATCGACGGCAAAAATGCGATGCAAGGCTGCTTCCACGTTATTTTCTGACTCGACCACGCCCGACAGGACACATAAATCGTCGTTCCATTAGAGACTCGATACTTCGATCCGTGTCTCACAGCGAAAAAGCAACGAAAAAACGAGCAAACAAAGTTCGGACCTTGGGCGGTGGCCAGCGCGGCGAAGGTAGGCCACAGGCTTGGTGCGAAACGTGGCTGATTTACGTGCGAAAATGGCCAATTAACTGGCGTAATCGATGTGCCGTACGCACGAGCTCAGCTCCGGCTAGCCAGTGTCAAAGTCGCGGAAACGCTCGTGCTATTTCTCTCCGCTTGGCTTGACCCTGAAAACGTTTCGTGGCCGTGAACCTTCGGGCGTGCTTCGAGAGTCGAGGAAACGCACGACGACGACACAACCAAAAAACAACAACGAAGACGACTAAGATGCAATCGAGGAATAACGTACGAAACAACGAACTGCTCGGAGGAATTGGAGAGTAGCGGCGTTGTGCAACGATGAAAACTGGAATATCGGGAGCTTGGTCCTCCAAAATTCTTCCTTCGAGCATCAGATAGCAACGCTCCTGAATACTCGTCTGGCTTTGAACGTTGCAACATGCGTTACATCGTTATGAATTAAGTGGATAGATTGCCAATGATTGAAGAGAACGTACAATTAGACTAGAGAACTAATTAATTTACATTTGGCGTGCAATTCAATAATATAGACCGTGATCTGAAGATGAAAACTATTTCACTGTAGTGAAACATTAATAGGAGGTTTGAATCTTTTAAAAAAATTAATGGAAAAACTATGGAAACTTGTAAAGAATTTGTAGGAAGAAATATACAAAACCAGGCAAATACGTAATATACGATACGATAAAAATCTGTAGTAGCGATTATAAAGACCGTGTAAGATCCAGTGAATCGAAATTCAAAGAGTATAACGATTGTACGATGTAGTCAGGTCGAGGAAGATCATCCCCGCTGGTATTCCATCGCGGTGAAACGCGCGATACGAATACCCGCAGATGGGACCGAGCTAGAACAATAAGCTGTTGCAACACTCTTTCGAAAACGACGTTCTCTGGTATGTAAACTTTGTTTATGACGCGAGCACGAGGAAACTGGCGAATGAATACAATGCTTGGTTAACGCGAAAGTCTATGTTTCTAGAATCCCTAATTATTTCGTTAGTTAATTAACCTTTAGAGAACCGACGTCTTTTCATAAAGATGGTAGTCCTTTTCAAAAATGTTGTGCACGTCATGCAGAATTCAAAGATTTATAACAGGGTACCAAAAAGGGGCTTTGCCGGTCCTCTAAAGGTTAATGTTAATCGACGTACACTTTGCACAAGCGTAACCCAGAATTGTACCAATAAAGACTCGATACATTGGCGAGGAACGTTCGCTCAGAATACAGTATAGCAGGTTTAAACAGCTATTTAATCTGCTGATTGGTCAATCGGACCACGAGCCTGCTCGTTGAACAGATGAAACTCAGATAGCATGTGGGTACATATAGAGTAATGCTCTGTTGGCGAGAGATAAACAACACGCGGTTGCAGGTGGAGGACATGCGGGCGAGGCAGAAGCGTAATCGGCGCGACATTATCGCTTATGCAATCGAAGCTTCACGTCGATTTACGTTGCTTTCAGATCGAGGCGACCGTGGCTACGACGGCGGTAGCGGGCAGCCCGCTTTCCTGGCATATCCCAAGGCCGTCCTTGGTGGGACGAAGCGAGAGGGACAGCGAAAATGGTAGCTGGGCTCATCATCTGCACCCGAACTCACCATCCAGAGGATCAACCTCGTCGCAAGGATCCACTGCCAGTACACACGTAAGTGTGCATAGATCGATCATGTGTTTGGAGTTTAGAAGAAGCTGAGAAATGTAAATGAAAGAAACGATTTGAAGCTCAATAGCAGAAGAACTAAAAAGCGTTAAATTGGCAGTGTGTTAGTTAGAGATTAGAATAGTACAATTGAGAAATTTTTCAAATTCGATGACCGATTAATTAAATAATGAGTGTGTAATTACAGAGTGCCGCGTCGGGCACGTTACTCCTGACAGCTGCAAACCTAGCCAATCTTGCAGCGATTCACCCGCCCACGGTGACAGCGCCGAAACAAATGGATACCGCATCGGTGGCGAGCAGTACTCATTTCACTGTGGTGAACGGCCTAGGCAGACCAACAACCGTTTACAGGAAGTCCTGCTGCGCGAGAAATCAGCTTACTGTGCTCGTCTGCACGATGAGCTTCCTATTCATGATCGGTCTGCTTCTCGGGATTCTCTACATGGAAAGTAAGTACCCCCTGCAGTGATGTTAATTGATTCGAAAGCTCCGCTTCAGAATCTCTTAACAATGCTGCCTATATCAAGTGTTTTTAAGTCTGGTCTCCATCAGTCTCCGGTGCTTTTTGCTTCTGATTACAGTGAGAATTCGCGACAAGTACCACTAGGCCGATGGAAATTGTTAAATCGAATAATCGTGGATCAAATTGGACTAACGACGAGACAGAAGAGTGCAAACTACGAGAAGAATGATATCAGGGATGAATTAATATTTGCGAAGCGTTTAATGTTTAAGATTTTCTCGATCACGATCGATGAAATTATTCGTATTTATAATGTACTTTCATGTATATTATCATTTAGAGTGTTAGGACGACTCCATTAGACGTTCTCGGTCAGAGATAATGTTTCAAAGGCTGTATTGCACCATGTTTCACGTGTGGCACGTGAAAATTCAGTAATTACATTCACGTAATAAGGTAGTTTTAGTTAAGATCCTAATAGATAGCACGAACGCGATCCTAACTCCTAAAATTGAGTCATTCAATTACCTAATGAAACGACCGATTCGCTCAATTGTAGAATCTTTCTACTTGTTTTATAATTAAAGTCAGACGACGATATGTTAAAATAAAACGTACGAGTCATCATTTCACTGAATTGTTAATTTAAATTGAATTTAAATTCAAATAATTATGGAACATCAACTTTTAACTCCAATTTAATTGAACAACGCAACAAGATTGTAAAACGAAAACATTGTAAACACAAGTATTTCTTTAATTGATATTGACGGACAGTTTGGAGTAATCGACGAAATGGGAGTATAAGATAAGCGAATATGTACTAATTTTTAGGAGTCGTTATTTAATTATTACTAACAAAAAGAACGCTTGAATCAAACCTGGATTTCGAGTTCCAGGGTGTCGTGTTCCAGGGAATGTAGAAAAGCAATGAGCAGTGATCGTGTCAATCGCTGACTCGCAACTGTGATATTATTTGCGTATTAATTAATCGTCGATTCAACAAGAAAACTGTCGAACCATGAAGAAAATCAGAATGTACTTTATTTCATCCCTGTCCCTTTTATCCTCCTAATATTAATATATATTGTAAAATACTCTGTTTGTTCTTTGTTTTCCGTTCAAAAAGCAAATATGAGTAAAAAAAATATTTTGAATGAAACGCAGAAAAAAATACTTTCTAAAATTATCGAATGCATTTTTTTATCATTAGATATTTCAAGAAAATTCAATTTCAAAAAATGAAATGTATATTTCACAATTTTTTTTTAAGTAAACGCAATAATTTTTTTTAAAAATCAGAAGTTATCCAATAAAAATTAACTTTCTTTATATTGCATATCAATAAACGTTCTATCTTAATTTTAATGTCAGAAGATATTTCTAAAAATAAGAAACAAAAATTTAATTGCATGCATGATATTACTTACCTCCAAGTCCTGAAGTGTCTGGGTCCATCTGTAATTGGGCAAATCTGCTCCGTTTCCACTATTAGGCCTAAGTTTGTCTTTCTCCTTTTCATCTTCTTCCTCCTCTTCTGAGTTGTCCTCCTTTTTTTCATTATCTACAGTATCACCACTTGGACCAGGAACAGCAGGTAATTCTTTAGCAGACTTCTGCAATCAAAATCAAGTATAACTGAAAAAGGTTCAATATAACCTCTTTAACAAAGGCATTTGACAGCCACATACTTTATTGTCTATTTCTTCCTGCAACTTAACAGCCTGTTCATCAGTCAATTCAACAATCTTAGACTCTGAATTGAATTTTTCCTCCTCAGCTTTTTCTTCTCTCTTCTTCTTCTCCAATCTTTCTTTACGCCGTTTTTCTTGTTCTGCGCGTTCTGCCTTTTCACTGGCTGCTTTCTCAATAGCTGTAGCTTCATGCTTTTTGAATTTACTGGTGACAAGCTACAGACAAATATATAGATGATAATATGAATTGTAAAATCCACAAGAAGTAATAATATCAATTACTAACATAAAAACTTAGAGTCATATAAAAATGACAATTACCTTTTCTGCGGCTCCTTCCCCACCTCCTGTGTAAAAATCTGTTTTTCTCGCAAGAAAACTGAAGATTGTGTCAAGCAGCTGCGAAATAAACGATATTTCGTTAATACGTAATGTTGTAAATAAATATGTAATTTTGAAAATAACTTTGTGTGCTCCAAGTAAAACCTAACCTAAACCGGCGAAGAAACAAGACTCACCTCTTGCACACCACCTTCGTGTTGCTGGGCCATGGCCAGCAACATTCCATCGAACTTCTCCTCGTTGTTTGACATTGTTCTCCGAGATTAGAAGGAAACTTGATTCTCAATTTGTCAAATAAACCACTCAAAACTGACGTTGAAATGAGCACTTTACTATCTCACCACGTTTTAAACCAGAAACGTCTCGAATTATCGACCAAACACAACTTTAAGTGATATGCGTGGTGCCCTCTGTGTGAAACGTAGATATTATAGGATATGCATTCAATCATCTATGAATTATTTTATTCTATAGCATTATATATATATTTATACTTAAAAGTATAAAGATTATTATTTAAAAAACTTGAAATAATAAAATATGAAATTGTATTGAAGTGAATATGTCAATAAAGTAAAAATTACAAATTCGATAAACTTTAATAATTATAGAAATTGATACTTTGTTAAAAGGTTTGAAATTTAGAGATTGAAAACGAATAAATTATTTAATATCGTTATAATAATATCTATGAAAGTATTAAATAAGAACATGTTAGTTACACGAACCTGTTTGTAGTCTGTAACAAGTAATAGAATTGTGCGTACGATAAAAATTCATACATTTCGACTGGATTAACACTTTACACCACGCTTTCCGATACCTGACTATATTGAAATATTGTATAAATGCCATTCAAAATCCAATCAGTGAAATATAATTATTTCAGATGAAACAATCACAACGAATTTTTAATGTTTTAGTACTTTACCGATAAAGAAACAAAAAATATACATATATACAGACGTGTAGAATTAATGAATTATAGTGCACGATTAAAAAATTTATGTTTATTTATAAAACTTAAATTTATGTTTATTTGTAAAACTATTGTACTCAGTATCACATGTTTAAAATGATATATAATAATTTGTATTAGTGTATCTTTATATAAAATGCGCGCACAATTATTTGTGGTTAGGAAAAGATTACAGCGCCAATTGACAATGAAACGGCGAAATGTGGAAATATAATTCTCGAACGTAATCGATATTTCTCGCGATCGAGCTACAGTTAGTTCGATATAAACGTTAGTTTTGGGACAAGAAGTGCAGTGTAAGGAAGCATTCTCCAGGAATTAACAGGTAAATCTATAATTAATATCTTTTAGATTTGCATTGTTGAGTTCGCAGTGAGCATTATTTAAAGAAATTGTCACTAACTCTATACTTCAAATAATATATATAATATTTCATGTACGTCGCTAATATTGTATTACAAGTCTCCTATTAGGTACTGAATATACAGTAAGGAATGAAGTTTGGCGCGTAGATATTTACATTCATAAACATTTCTTAGAACACTTTGTTTTTCATCCGTTCTAGGTATTCCTACCAACTGAGTTCGGGACGCTGACCTGTTGCGCGAGTGTCATTCCATTGTTGAAAGTCGTAGTATTAAGATGTACTTTTCTGCGTCGTGATGTTTATGAACTACATGTGTTAAGTGCTTTCGTCGCCATATTTTCACCGTCTATATCCACACTGCTGCTGATTTTGTATACCGTACGTATTTTATTCGTATTTTATTTGTATTTTACGTTAATTATTATTTCATAATACACTCTCTATGTATTATTACAGATGTGTTCCAGCCCTCACTTCTTCCATAGCATGGGATTTGACGATTTACTTTTGATAATGAACTTCACGATGACTCCCTCCGGGCCTCAGAATGTATCTTCTTTGCATCTAATCGTGAGTCGCATGTATTTTTGTACCTCTGGTCACTCAAACATGTCGTAGGATGAAAGATCCGAATCGACGCGGGTGACTGGTTGTATTACGTAGAATTTTTTACGAGCATAGTGACCACGGATATTTATTATATCTGTGAGTGGTAACATTTCCTTTTCATGTGTTTTATTTATTAGTTCAGGATAGGTCTTCTTGCATTTCGTGTTTTTTAATGATGATAACATGACATTAATGTAATGATGGTAGATCATTGGCTGATAGAAATGAATAACATGATAATAATTAATTTGAGTAGTCATGATAGAAAGTATATTTGATACGGTTATTTCTAAAACAATTCAAAGTATATTTAATGTTGATATTTGTAAAAATTAAATGTATTCATATGAATATAGATATATTGAACAGGATGTGAATATTTGAATAAATATATGTCTTGAAATTACTTACACTGAGTATTATGTAGTGGAGAAGTCGGATGTCCTCCGACTTTGTTGTGATATAATTTATAATTACAATAATGAGAATATATATTATGAATAATTTCAATTATAAATAATTTTTTATTCTCTCTTCTGTCAATAGTTTTAATAATTTAATTTTTTAATTTGAACATTATGAATTTAAATATAATTTAGTATATTAAAATTCTTTTCGTAAAAAATGTATTTTTTATGTGCAAGAAGAAACTTCGCGATTGGCAGATTTCAGAATCAAAGCAATAAATTTTGTTATTGTTTTTACATATTCGAAAATTTGCTTTGATAAAGGAATCTGTTATTTAGTTATATTTAATATAAAATTCTTACATTGCATTAAATTTGTTTCCTTTGTAAATAAATTCCCACTTCATTTGCAATCTTGTTTCTTTCAGTAATAGAGTTTGAATAATTTAGCAAATTAATAAAGTAGTATATAGAGTTTTAATAATTGAAAATATAATTAAAAAATGCAAATTAGAAGATTATTAGCCCGTTAGATAAAAAATGAATATATTAATCATTTCTTAGCTGAGGATTTTCAGATTTAACCTCTTCCGTGTTCATTGCCAGGACCTCATTCACGTGCCCAGGTGCTACTTGGGTGGGAGAGAGGCAATGGGCATGATGACCATAGTTTATAAGATTAATTTTTCAGCAACTGATAATGTGTTAGCGTATCGTGCACGACGTATTTTCCACATGTGTGTGTGTG